TCTAGTCTAGGGGCCAAGTCAGGGTGCTGGCCTTCCTTCAGAGCAGGCTGGTCTCTTCAGCAGTTAGATGTTCCTGATGCCACCACCAGCCCCAGAGGGATGGAGAATTTATTAGGGTGCAATAAAATCAATTTTCAAGGTTCCAGGAATGCATTTGGGGCCAGTTAATGGCTGATCACAAGGAGGGGGTGTACACAGGGTGTAATTCAATGATTTAACAGTTGTTCTTTAAGAGGGAATACAATTCAGTGGTCAGAGCTGAATTCTGCTTATTCCTCAACTCTCTGCCTGTAACTTTCCATCACTGCGATTGTAGATGGTTGAGCAGGAATGATTTGAGGAGAGGGTGCACCAAATCTAGCATTTAAAATCCAAGCCAAGTGGTACAGGCTTCCTATGTACAAATTCAGCCAGGCAGGCCCCTGCTGAGTGTCCAGCAGGGGATGGGGAGGGAGGTGCCCGGCTTGGTGTCTGGAGAAGCACTGCCGGTGGGAGTCTGCGGGCTCCTCTGGACCCAGGTGCTGAGAACGCGCCTTCTCTGGCTGAGAGGGCCTGGTGGCCTGGTGTTTCTATGAAAACCCACACTTTACTGTGCAGCGTGCAGGTGTTACTTTACTCCTAGGGGCCCATTTTACACCTCGGGGCCCATCAGGACTGTGAAGGAAGGAACCTGTTGGGGACCAGAGGAATAGGGTCTGAGGAGGGCAGAGACAGCACCGAAGACGTTTGTCCTGCTGACAGCTGCCCAAGCGTTGCCTTAAAGGTGTGCAAAACAGTGATGCCTGCATGTCCTGTATGCTCAAAGAAGCCTCCCAGTCAGGGGCAAGTCCTTGGACAAACTGACTGGATTTTAAAAAAGGATTTCTTTTTATTTATTTATACGTACAAGAATTGGGATAGAGGCCTGAAGTATGGGGTGGGGTGGGGTGGTGAAAGGCTTCGCCAGAAACAGAATGGGGAGCTGAATAGGCAAATCCACGAAGTACACTGCTGAGGGGAGCAGCGGGCGGGTCAGGAGAGGTCTGCCGCGCCTTGTGGGTCACCTCTGAGGCCGGGATCGAACTGAAGCCCATAACATGACAGTGCTGAGACTTCACCTCCACACCACCAGGGAAGATCCCTAATTGGATTTCTAACCCTTGCTTTCTATCTCTGGGGCTGCTTGGGTCTGGCCTCACTTGTTAAAATCCTGTGCTATTCTTCAGGCTCCTTCTGGCCTATTTGGAGCCTAGCATGTTCAGTTCATCAGATTTAGCACCACAGGGTACCAAGCACAGTGTGGAGTTCCAGCTAGTTTCAGGGAGGCAATATACAGTCCCGATCCAGAAGGCCCTTAATCTTTAGTAGGGGAGGTGGCAGGCCCGTAACTTACCACACTATGGGAGAGTGGGAAAAACAAAGAGGTAGAGAAGAGGCTGCCTTGTGGGGTGGTGAGTTCTCTGTCACAGAAGCATTTGAGAAGACAATGGTAAGGTATACTATTTGTATTTAAGATTTATTTTTATTTATTCATGCAGAGGTTGGGGGTGTGGAGAGGATTCACCAGAGACAGAGTGAAGGGGAGCAGTGGGTGAGACAGGAGGAAGTCTGCTGCGACACCCCCCTGGCTGGGGAATCCAGCTCATGCTCAGAAGCTGGTGATAGTTCCATAGTGCTGACTTAACCCTTTGCGCCACCTGGGAGGCCCCTGGCAAGGGGTACCATTAAGGAATTTCTGCACTGTGTGTGGTATGTGAAGAAGGCAAATGAGGACCAGAGCTGGATAAGCACTGCGGCTTCTCTAATGCTGACATCTGTGATTCTGTGACGTGCCTCGCCCCAATGAAGGCAGCTGTCTCTCCAGCCAGGGTGGAGAGCTAGAGTGTAGAAGGTACAGGCAGCCAAGTCTTTCATCAAACCACCTCACTGTCTGTAACTTCCGTATGTGGGCTGCCTCATATCTGTCACACACACTCACAGTAGTAAAGCTGACAACTGGCCTTGTCATGTCATCTCTTCATCTTCTTCTTAGCCCTACTGGCTTGTGGCCTTCGCCTCACCACTTCAGACCTGAGTCACCACACAGCTGCCTGGCGCAGGGGATGTGGGCACAGCATGTGATGCTCTGTGGGATAGAGAAATGTCAAAGGCTCCCTCCCCAGTGTGGTGCCAGAAAATGCCTTCCTCTCTTTTGTAGAGTAGGAATGGAAGAAGAAAGTCATGATTCACATGGCATTTTACATCATCTGTCAGCACTTCTGTTTCTCCCACTGCTTCTTACTCAGACTTTACAGCCTCAGCTTTCCCCTCCGTCCTCAAAGATTGTTCTCTCTTCCTGCTTCCTCAGACTCCAAGAATCTCCTCTTCCTCTTCACCCTCAAATTCTCTAGGCTCTTGAGTGCCACCTTACACAAAAAGCTGTTCAGGGACACAGCATGAATTGTGTTGCGGTGATTACGAAGATGGGCTCTACATTGTAAGCTAGAAGAAGAAATTCTCGTGATGGAAACACATGAAAGAGACAGTCAGTGAAGCTGCAGCTACAGCTTTTGCTGCATTTTCTTTTCTTTCTTTTTTTTTTTTTAAGATTTATTTATTTATGCAGACAAGAACTGGGGTTTAGGCTAGAGGTATGGGGGGTGGTGGTGAGAGAATTCACCAAAGAGTGGGGAACAGAACAGACAGATCTACTGAAATACACTGCTGAGGGGAGCAGCAGGCAAGATAGGAGAGGTCTGCTGTGCCATGTGGGTCAGGTTAGCTCCCTGGCAGTGGCTGTCCCTACCTTGATAGTGCTGGGTCTTTAATCCCTTGTGCCACCAGAGAGGTCCTTTTGTTCCATTTTCTTAAATAGATATATTTAAATGTTCACCTATAATTTTTTCTTGAATAACTTCTGACTAACAAGAGTTGTTTTCAGTGACCTAAAAAATAAAATGATGATCTTCATCATCCTAACATTTGAGGGGAGCTGGATGTACAGCAATGATGGTAATGTCTGGGAAAGGGTGAGATTCCCCGAGCGGCGAGTTTAGACTTAGAGAAGGCATTAATTCTTTTTTTTTTTTTATATATGTAAAAAGAAGAGTCTTTCATTCTTAATTTGTACTTTATGATAGAAAATAATAGAAAATTAACTAGCACATCTTCTTGACCCAGCATTCTACAGGGGAGGAAAGGGGAACAAGATCAAAACTGGGGTAGAAAGAGCACACGGGACAATGGTGATGGCACATGGGTGAAGTGGTGGTGGGAAATCCATGGCGATTACAACTGAGGTGAAAAAAATGCCCAAAATGAAGAATCGTGTAAAAAATGTATTTATAAAATAAAAATAAAGAAAATTATCAAGTACATAAAGGCTCAGAAGTAATTTGAAATTAATGTATGAGACCAAGTTTCTGGAATTAACAAATCAAAAAAAATAATAAAAGGTTATTTATCATATTCTGTGGCTTGATCTGCTCATGTTCCAGATAATTTCTTTTTTTT